CGCCGGAGAAGCAGTGGGTTGCTGGGAGGCGGGCTGACCGGCCGTCGGGGCGCCGGAGGAGGCACCAGCCGTCGGGGAGGCGGAGCCCTGCTGTTGGTTGTAATCGTATTGGAAAGACATGGTTTTTGGTTTGATCGTTAAATGTGGATGAAACTGTTAGTCAAGGATGATGTTAGTCTTTGTTGAGGTCGACTCGGATACCGATGGAAATTTCCGGTTCGTAGCGCCGAAAATCTTTTTGGAAGGAGAAATGCCTTTTGGATGTCTCGAAGACCAACAAAATCCGAAAGAAAATTGCAGGAAATTGTTGTTATGCAATGAATATTTCGTTACTCCTCTCAAAAGGTTTTAGCGAAAACGACTAACGAGTGTACGCTGGCAAAGATGGATCTGTGGAACACGGCGATGAGAGATGGGCATATGACGCCTTTTCGTAGGAGTAGAAAAACACACCTTTGACTGCGTGAATCTGGCTCGCCGATGTGCAAGGGGAATTCGTCAAATTGCAGTGAGGTCTTTAGAGATGTAAGGGCCGTGGCAAATATCGCTCTAAAAAACGCAAGGGACGTGTCAACATTTAATCATACCATGAAAATGAGACAGAATGCTAGTGCATAGAATGATATGTAGATGAATTGAAAAGAGGAAGCGAGGGACATATCATGAAAGTGGAAGGGGAAGACAATACTATTTAATCGTTTAGAAGACGATAAAGAGAAACGGACAACGATACCCTTTAAATTTGTCTTAGAAGAAAAATTTATCTCGTCGAGGGGGAGAGGACAGAAGTCGAGAGGAAGGAGGGATTGAGTGGAGGGGGGGCGGGGGGGAGGGGATTGAGGGTTGCAGAAGGGATTGGAAAAGCAGAAGGGGGGGGGGGGGGATGGTGGAGAGGCTAAGAGTGAGGCCGATTTGACTTGGGAGACGATGACGAAGTGCGAAGAAGCTGAAATGTGTGTGCACGGGTGGTAGTGGTTGTCGGTAGTCGCGGTAGTAATATGTAGCAGAAGCAACAGGAAGCGAAACAAACCTTTGAAGTTATTCTGTTCAGGAAACCGAAACCAAACGATGCTAGCTAAATAACAGGAATAATGAGAAAAGGTAGATCCGTCCGTGTATAGGATTCGACGATGTGAGTGAGGGAGGATGATAGAGAGCGAGAGGTTTTAGAATGGAATAGAATAGTATGCAGAGAGATCAAGGAAACAGAAACTCAGAAGAGACCAGAGAGAGACTGGGGGCGCAGAGGTAGAAAGAAGAAGGGAAGACAGGGAAGGGTGGGAAAGTGGTGGTAGATGTACAGAATTATGAGAGAATACTGCATGTGTCCATACATGGTCATCAGCTAAAAAAAACATTACAAAGTGCGAGGAGTCGGAGTTTAGCGTCTGTTCAGCGCGTCACAGTCAAGTCAGTCAACCGTCAATCAAAGGCAAAAGAATGCCCACGAAGGCTTTTGACGTATGTACATGTGTATTTATGGTGACCGCCGTGGGTGCTACTCATCCTTCCCTTAAGTACACGCATACATGTAATTTTGTCTCTCAAATTCGCTCGATATAATCGAAGGGTCGCTCATAAATGTACTTAACCTACATGTAGGCAGACCTCATTCTTTTTCGCCTCTACATACAACATCATCATTGTTTGACCACCCGCCTCTCTAGAGTCCTTACAGCCATCGGGCTCTCACTCCAGGGTTGTTGCCAAAAGTGCATACATACATAGCCGTATACATAAGATGTCAAGGGTCAGCAGCGGTGACCGGGGCTGGGTTGAGGTTCTGGAAATAGACTTTTTTGAGAGAAGTTTATCATATCCCTATCACCCTGATGGTTTTTTTTGGTTTCTAATTATCGTCTTGCATAATAAGTAGGTACATGTAGATGTCTGTATACAGACCAATCGAAGGCAAGTTGACTCTGGCAAGTAATTCATCATAATCTCGTCTCCAAAGTTGAGGTATCTACAGTCTTACTGAGCGTGCTCCAAACTGTTCGCTGTTCAGAATAATAACCTGTGTCCATTTCGATGATTGGCCACGGTTCCTAACAATGAAAATCAAATCCCAGTCCATGCGATGCAGTAGAGTAAAGCACCTACTCTAGAGTAAAGTTACGCGTTTTGCTTGGCTTGAGCTAGCTTAACCAACGGTTCTTCTACCTCCGAGTCCGGCCCTCACCGCAAACCATCTACCGCCACATGAACTAATGCATTCCCACTGCAAATATCCGCATCCGTCCTGTCTGCTGGAGAAGTAAAGGCGTACGAGCCTCTCCCTTCACTCAAGATAATCTTTTCCAGAAGACAGAGTTATGTGAGGTTTCATTCATTTTTGTCATGACTTTACGCCCCGGAAGGAGATATTATTTATCAATTTATGTCGGTCTAGTGCCCGGCAACGGCGCGCGCTGACGGCATGCTCATTCCATCTCACATGACATACCCTCCGCTAGATCGGCTACTCGGGAATTTATTCTCTTTCGTTCTCATCGGCGTCACAATACCGACGATTTCTCAATAATACCAACAACAATATCAATAAAAGAACAAGCACATAACTCTACTACGTGTAGGTATATAGCCACAAGATGTCGATGGTGCCGGTAGTGAGAAGATGATCAAGGGATGAGAAGCTGGGCTCGAAAAAAAGCAACTTGATCAAATTCAAGGATTCAAAACGGAGCGGGATATTTCTTCTTCTGAATCGTTGATTCGAGCATGAAGGTGTGCATTTTTCTTATGTTGTGTCTGTTCCTGTAAAAGAGATATTGCCTCAACAACAGAAAACAACCAACGCACAATTCCAATCAAACACACAGTCACACAAGCACGCACAATTGTGGCTTCCTTGTCGTTCTCAGTTCGTAACGTGTCCTCGGGGCGATGAAGGGAGCGTCTTAAGGAAAACGAGCGGACGGAACCAGGTTTACGGGTAGCCGCCATCACGTAACAAAGAAGGCTGGAGAAAAACAAATAAGGTCGGAGGATTACTAAAACGGGAGCAGACAAAAACGTCCGTAGGTTGCAGGGATCTACTTCCTTGGTAGAGCACTCACTGGCTTGGCGCCAAGATATTGAAGGCTCAAAAGCATACATACATGTACATACATATTTCCAAAATTTGTTCGATAGCTAGCACCGAACGTGTCTTAAGTGACTGGTAAAGGAAAACAACGCCCAAAACGAATAAATTGCAAAAAATATTGTCAAATAGCCCTCTATAGTATCGCTTTAAGTCCCACAGTTCTTTGAATACACATAAATCAACTTATTAAGAGAACTAGCGGGTAGTTTAATTATAGCATGCGCATTGATAGTAGAGTATATATTCTCCAAGATATGGATGGGATCTTGGTCATGCATGGCACCAGTACCCTCACCCAATTAATCTCAAAACTTGCCGTATAGATTTCCGCGTATGAATAGAATTATCTCTTGGGATATACACTTATATTATGGGTTTTGGTGAAGACGTGAAAGTTAGGGAAGTTGCCAAGTTTGGTGTATTTTGGCATAAAGACGGTGATTTCTAATTATTAAGGATGTCTAAGAATTATATATCTACCTATGTATATACAGATCTAGTTACAACTCCATGTAGCTCTCGAGTCTTCTAAATGTGTAGGCACATTATGTCAATTGGAATGAATGTGCTAGAGAGAGCACGCGCACTTTAACCATGAGGTCGGAAAATAATATGATTGTGTATATTTAAGTACTGCTCACAATCTTGAAGGGAAGAGCTTATATAATTATAATTACATGTAAGGTAGGTGCGCATGCGTAGGAGTGCATGAAGGAAATGAAGAATTAGATGTGCAGTTAAGGTATATATGTCTTTGAAAGAAATACCAATGTTGAAATATGGCGACCTACGATTCGAACGGGATCGCCGCGCTAAGTAGATGATTTAAAAACCATCGATCGTAGAGTTCATTAGGTACTTGAATATCACGTGGTATAAGTCTTCTATTGTGTGTCCTGAAGGTGGAAACCAAAGGGCATTGCAAGTGCAAATTTTAAAAAAGGTAGGTGCGTATTATTATGATTTTAACGACTTAAGGTCTCATTGCTTTTATGTTATGTGAATAAAAGACGAGGGGAGAAGTAGGACAACAGGTCTCAAAAACCCTGGAATTAAAAGGATTTCCTTGGCTTTAAATTTGCGAGTTCTTGTAGTGCACATTGGAGCTGAATTTTATCAACTCTAAACGTTAATTTTTTTCTATGGGAATAAAATTCCAAACCCCAACCATACGCCCCCAAGCCGGAAACCCCAAACCCCTATGTATGTACCTCGACGTAATAGCATTACACGGCCTGTAAGAGGTTCTCTTGTCTGAGTCACAACGGCCTCAGCTCCCTAAATCTTATTGGAATCGCTTTGTCTCTTCATACGTTTTCCCCATAGGCAAAATCTCCCCAAATCTGGAGTGTTGTGTATGATCGGTATCTTGGAATCGAGAGGACGTCTTAGTAACAATTAGATCAGTGCCGAGTCTGTATTACCGCACCACTCGAGCCCGAACACCCTCGATAAACACCCTCAGACTTAAATGTGAGCGATTAAGATATACCATTGGTGATCAGCATGATCATTGAGGAAGGGGGTAGCTAAAGAATACTTTAACGCCTTCTACTACATGCAATCTGCTATTTATAGGATATAAAAAAGTTGGGCTTCTCATTAATGGTCCCTATAGCTGTATGGACGGCGGATTTAGTACGAGCGAAAAGCTAGTTCGAGGTCTAATTGGTTGAATGGTTTAGTAAAAGTTCATATTTCCCGAGCGCTAGTACAAGCCAAAAACACCCTCTCCGGTATAAAGGTATCTTAAAAAAAGCATAGCGACAAAGCCAGAGCATACTAACCCGGTTTCAACACAGTTCCCTCACAGTACAAACTAGGCGGCTAATTCTATTCGCCCGAAATCGCACGCTAAATCTTCCGTACACGGCCGTAATCCGCCGTCCGTACAGCTTTGAGGACCGTTATTTTACCTGGAGACGTGGAGTAAAGGAAAAAGAAATAATTGACTAACGCATTTGGTAGTCTTACGTCGGTTAGTATATTTTATATGTAAGTGCGTGTGTACTAATGAAATACCACATGTTCATTGTGCCGGAACTTTACCTATTATAGATTTCAATAATTAGTACATCTTAGATGTGGAGGAAAAATTCAAGGGGTACTCACATGTAAATATACTGTTTATTCGGAGCTAGGTTGGCAAGATCATTGAAAAGTTCATGGCAAAGAACTAATTAGCACTATAGGCCGCAGTATCAGACCGTAGGATTAGGTGATAATGCACGATGGTGATAGTGTATTGATGATATAGCATGATTATATCTGTCGATCTATTTTTTGATCCCAGATTTTCTGGTTGGATCTAGGACTGGGTTGCGATTCTCAAACTCGTCCGGGTTATTTAAGTCAATTCGTTTACCGAAAGAGCCGACAAGTCCAACTGGGGAAGCCAATGTATTAGGTATGACTTTTGTTTGTTTCTGAGAAGACCGCCTCCTAAGATCATCACTCCCGGTGCCAAAGTGAGCTTTAGAAATTATGTTCAAGTCCTTTTGATGCTGAATATCAGGGATGATCCCCTGCAATGCAGGCGTGGTACTTATAGTGCCTTCATGTTTTCGAATTTGGCCGTCCTCCTGCCATTGAGGTATGGCAGGGAACAGCTCATTGGTTTCAGAAGTTTTTATCTTCGTAACTTTTCGTTTCCTTCCAGCCACTGTGTCACTAGCTTCCATCTTAGAGATAGAGTTGTCTAGGGTTCTTTCCTCATCCGTTTTCTTATGAACGACCACAATCTCAGCTGATTTAAAAGCATCTTGATCGCCAACTGAGGCCAAAGGGATCGATGAAATGGGTTCTTTGGGTAGATCCAGGTGTACAGGCCCAGGATCTAATTAAGTGGATGTTAGAAACAAATGGGATGGATAAAGGGGGTTCGAATTGAGACAAACAAATGATAAACCAAAACCTGGCTAAGTGTATTCTTGCAGTAAACTCTGCTTCTCTCATCTGAGGAGTTTTTTGGCTCACTGAAGCTAACCCAATTGGTTTCCATTCCATGATTTCCTTATCAGTGCCACTCAGAATATTATGCCCCCCAATTTCCTCCAATCGCTCCTCACCTCCGATGGTAGCCGGTCTATATGAAGGTCTGACAGGGACTGCAGCGCTGGTACCTTCGTTCCTATTTGATTGTTGGGACTCGAGCTTCCTTTTAGTTCCCTGGATATTGACATTGATGCTGTGCTGGAGCCATTGAGAAGACAGCGAAACAGGAGGGATATAGAATGCTTCTTGGAGCACTGGTGAGAATATCAAATATTTTTCTAGGGTATTGTGTTTTTTCCCAATTGTGATGAGTATCTCTATGTGTGAAGTGTTTAATGGCAAACCTGAAGGTGCAAAGGGGATTAGTGTCGGATCCTCATAATTCCAACCGGTGGCCGTCTCACTCGTGTTGATTGCCTCAATCGAGGATGTTAGAGTGGAGGCAGAGAGGTTATCTTTCGATTTTCCGGAGTTTCGGGGAGGTGAATTAAATATAAAGGCCATTTCCTCTGTTCTTGCTACACGTAAACCAGAGAATTCAATACGGGTACCTTTAGGCCATATTTTGGCCTGTGGTAGAACCCGCCAACCACTTACTACACCATCAACCTTGACCTCAATCCTCACATCACCCTTGGGATGATTCGGGCTATGACGGTCAATATCGGCATCGAATTCAACCACTATGCAGAATGGAAGGGGTGAGCCAGTTGTTGCAGGAGAGATGACATTGGTGCTTAATATTGGATGTGTCATCCCCTGTATTGGGCTCCACGTGATTTTGGAGGTCGATTCAGAAAGTCTGGATAGTTTTGAGATAGGGTCCGAAGATATATCCTGAAGCTCCAGAAATGTATGGACCCCGTAAGAGTGGAAACTAGGCATGATGACCAGAGTTCAACTTTGTAGTCTTGAAACCCAAACGGTTTAATGGTTGGTAAAGAGGCCATGAATGATAATACGCACTCACAAGGTCTGAGCCCTCAACCCTGAGCCCTACCTCCGAACTCTCTGAATAAACGTCATACAGGTTGTAGTACTCTATGAGTCTACCTTCGTACGTCTATACCTACATATGCAATTCAGCCCCATGTATCCATCGCTGCCTTCGCCCGCTCCATCAGATGTTTCAACAACTTCCTATCACTCTCTACCGCATCCCCGCTCGTCGGGCCCGCTGAAGGCCGGGTCTCGTTCCGAGTCAAATCTAATAGCATATCTCGATGTTCAACTTCTTGAAGTTTCGAGGAAATATGCCAAGAAATTCCATGAGGGTGGCTATTTTGATATAAAAACAATCGCTGAAGATCTTGAGAGGTTGGTAGATGTACTTTGGGTTTCCTCTACTCGTCTGTCTCTCGCTTTACTTTCTATTGTGCCCTAGCCACGCTCTCTGAAACACCAGGGAAGATATTCGGTTATGGACACTCCGCTAACTAAGACTTTGGTAAAGCAACTCTTCAAATACATTATATGCTTCAGATGGCGAACTCCTTCAACGATTATCTTGCCTCGTTTCCCCCCGACTTGAAAGTCACGCTCCGTCTATTGGACACATTTGATAGATGTTTCTACACCCTTATAACAGGAACATCTACTGACCTATCCATACCACTCCCACCCGCATTTTCAGTATCTCAAATGAACATGACCGAAAAGGTGCGTCTAAGAAGCATGATCGAGAGGACAAGACTGCATGTGGTGAAGCTATTGGAGAGTGGGAGGGGAGCGCTTGATTCATTAACCGAGAATGCGAGAAATTTTGGCGAAAGAAATGAACAAACAGACATCGATACAGAAAATGAAACAAAAGTTGATGGGCGTGGAAGTTACGCAGACGACGAGGAACTAGAAATCGAGGTATCAAAGGTTTATGAACGATGCATGGTTCAACTTGGGGAAGGTCTGAAGACGATTGGGTAAATTTGAAATCAAAGGAATGTTCATATCGCAAATATCCTATCTATTATCTAGGATATCATTTGAGCTGTAAGCTGGGTCTCTTGAGTGGCCTGGGTTTTATGTGTAGACGGCTTCCCTAGCCACCCGAACACAGAACGTTAAGGGTGTACTGGAATATGTCGGAACAGCCCTTTAATGAAATGATTGTTCTGTTTAATACTCCCGCCGGGAAAGTACTTTCAAAGGCAAAAAGGTTAATTCCAGGCCAGAGTACAGTGGAGTCCCGATAGTAGCAACCTCGATAATAGCATATCCTCGATAGTAGCATATGTTTGGGCAATCCCAAACGAGTCGGTACGGGCAAAGTTGTTCTCGATACAAGCATATCCCCGATAGTGGCACACGAAAATCCGTTCCCGACCATATGCTATTATCGAGACTCCACTGTAGTAGGAAAAAAGAGAAACATAAGGCTTTATTTCATTCCCCAACCTGGTAGCATAAATTAAGATGGGCATTATGAAATGATTCCGGTTGGTAACAGACGGGAAAACCTCTAGTCATAAAGAAATGCTCATATACATATTATGAAAAAATAAAATTGAGGTGCCCAGTACCTCATGTACATCTCTACATGATGTACGGCGTCCCCAACCTTAAAGGCAACACGAGAAAAACGCTAAGTCTCGAATAACTTTTCAAGGTCACAACAGATATTAAAAATCCGTACAATAAAACTCTTCTTCACCACGTTATCCAACTTTTTATTGTACGGATTTTTAATATCTGTTGTGGTTGAAAAGTTATTGGAGACTTGGCGACGTTTTTCTCATGTTACCATAATTAAGACTGGGGCACTATAGCTGATATGATTTCCGGGTGATGTTTCATGATCGTTAGCGCCATCCCAGATTTCCCAATAAAAGTGTCGGCTTAGTGTTGGTTTTTTCTAGCAAATTAAACCGGTACCCCCTGTAACGATTCCCGTTTTCGAATAGACACCAGAATGGAAGCAGCAGACGGATTTAGTGTTGATGAACTCAACTGTGCTGACCCCTCGACCCACTCCTCTATTAAAAAAGATGGATATGTGAATAAATCCATCGCCTCCCTTAAGCCATGCAGGTCACTCCAATGTATCTATCAGTGGAAGGATTGTAAATCTTTACCACCGAGAGACTGATCCCAAAGCGGATGAGGAGGTCAAAAAAACATTAAGCATCATCGTCAAAGACAGAGACGGTGTGATTGAGGTAGCTTACATAATTATCTCCACTCATTTTGTAATTGAATTTAGTTAACTTGAGATACAGGTAAAATACGAGATACCGTTAAGCCTGGATGCCAACAGGAATGAAGCTGGCTTTTATCTCGGACGTTTGTGTAGGGTATACACTACCGAAATCTTTGCTCTAGATCCTCAGTCCCTTCGGAGCTCACCAGCAGGAATGTCTTACTATATCAAAGTTTTAAAGGCAGATCACTTGGATTCCTTGAAGATGATAACACGCTTTTTAGGACACCAATCAGCTGTACACTGGGAAACAAAGGGGGGGAATTCATGCCGCTGAGAACCTTTTTAAAGATTGGGCCCACAATCCAAGGAGTTATGGTGCTGGTTTGCATTAAGGCAGTAAGTCAAAATTGGTTATAGGTGACAGGACAGCAGCTAATTTGTACCATTAAAGATTTATTACCGAAGAATACGTATGTAGTCGTGATACACGAATGCCCCTCCGCCCCCAACCGGTCTTGGAAACGTTCCTAACGTTTCTCAGTTTCAACGATTGATGGAAGATCACTTAACAAAGTTGAAGTCGTTGTCTTTGACGACACTTCCGACAGCAGATTGACCATGTGCGGAGCAATTTCATGTTCAGCAAGGACCTGGAGTACGCACGAAACGGGTTTGTTCGCAACTATTTCCACATCAACGACCTAATATTGGATAGTTCTCCTTATAACCTCTGCCCATATTGAAGGATGGGAAGATAAATACCATCTCATAGTGAATCAAGCCACAACGATTGATGTTAACCCAGCCGCCGAAGCTACAGCACGGCTACGAGCTTACGCTCAGCTCCTCAAGCCACCTACATTCATCTCACCTCAGTTTCCCGTAAATCAGGTTTTTGACTGGGAGAGAGAGTTAAATAGTACCAACAATGTTAGGTTACTTTATCGTTTTAGAGAAATCAATAATTTCGCAAAATCACGCCCCCAGGACCAATGTATCGGCTATATAAGTGTCATCATTGGTGAAATTAACCTAGTTTCTATGTAAGTTACATATAACTATCCTCAAAAGTTTAACCTGACTAATAAACAAGCACTATTAACTATAGATATAAGAAAAATATGTTATTTTATGGAGACTGGTGAAGAAAACAATGTCTCCCAATCTCTGATGCAAGACATGCTGATCTTTTATACATCTGCGAAACCCCCGTCTTTACAAATGAACTCCAAGTCGAATGTATAAGATGCAATGGGGGAGTCCGAAATCTACTCCCTAATCGTGATATTGTCAGAAGTCCTCTGTAATATAACTCATTATTAAGGTTCCTGTAGAACTTACTCAGTATGCGAGAAAATCTAGATCGGACTTATCACTGATGAAACTGGATGCCTGTCTGGAAACAAGGCAATATTTTCTCATCGTTCTTGGGGTAGTTTCTTTGGCTGCTCAGTTGAAGCGCTGGCTAGGGGAGCGAGCATCGATAACTTTCGACACTTTGAACAGAGAAATCTCTTCACCAGACTTACCATGGTCTTTGGCCTAGATCGCAAAATTGAGGTGATTTCAATTTGGGATATCCAGAGATAGCTGCCATGATGACCCGCTATAATTATAAGAGGCTAAAAGCTTTAAAGAGAGGCTGTAACATACAAGCTTTTACTTTGCGGGCCGTTGGTTAAGGGGGAAGAGTAAACCGCTATCAATGAGGGACCTAATACTGTTATCCGAGGTACATATGCCAATTAGCTAGTTTATAATGGGGTATGACTTCAAGAATCAATAGTCAAAATCTGGTGAGCTTCTAAAAATCCTTAGTATTATTTTAGGAAACTAGATTCGATCATGTTAAGTTACAGACTTTCTAGTTTTAGTTTAATAAGCGCGGTTGTAATCGAGTGATATTTAATGATCACCAGTTATTCCTATTTGATCCACTATAACAAATATCGGTTTTATTATGATTTAGGGAAATTTGGAGCTTATCAGTTGTGTGATTCTTCGGAATAAGGATTTGGCATGCGCGGACGGTTTTCCTAGAACACACCCATTATGTATATCGATTCAGGAATATTGAAGTTGAAAGGTTGAGAGATGAGGTGTTTCGGAATATATTTATCCTCTTTTAATTCTCGTCGTTTCTTTTGTGTTTTCTAAATACGATGAATCTAGCTTAGGCCTAAACTTCAATTGAGACCAGAGGGGAAAACCGCGAACTAGCGCTAGCGCTGCTCAGCTCATGGAATGTATCGCCTTCACCGGCGCGGCCGTTTTCCCGGGTTCAGTCAGGAGATTATGTGGTATCATGCATGTAATTATCATAATACCGTGTTAATTGATCTTAAGATCTTGTATATAAGATGGAGGACGGCCAATAATATGGCGTACCAATATTTTACCGCCTGAGTGAGGGGGGCCGGCCATTTCATATATAAACCCTACATAGATCACCTCATCAAACGCTTAGACAAACCACGGGTTTATAAAGACTTCTTTGGTATATATACTTACCCATTAGTTCTAGTTAAGTCCTGAGAATTCTTGGTAGCAACGACCTTACAAAATTTCTCAGGACTTAATTACCGCGCGAGTACGTAATTAAGCTCTTTTTAAAAGTCTTGTCTCATCGACATTAAACCTGATTTTACTAGTGAAAATGTACATTAAAGATCATTCGAAGTTGTCTACCTGCTAATATGCATACTGTATATATACTTTCTCCCAAATAAGGACAAGAATTTCGTCTTTATTTTAAGTTACGTATAATATATATACGAAACACATAGTACTAATATAGTGCTGGCCCGCAGCCCCTATATATATATATATATTCAACGTCGCCATAAGACACAAATATATAAGTATATAAAGAACACAACGCGTTAACGAGTGCATAGAAAGTGCATACAGAATGAGACTGGTAGGCCGCCGAGACTACTCGAGTATAGTTTCTCTTGTCGTCAATTCATCTGAGAAGGCTATTCTGGGGGTTTTAAATTTGTTCCTGATAATAGTAACCACAAACCAGTACATACATTGTTGTACATATGCATGTATGGCCGCGCCAGGCATTAAAAAATTGCCATATTTTCACAGTAGGGACAGTCCCCCCAAAACGAAGATACAGCAAAACCTATCATAATTCTACCCTCTCGAAGTCCCACCCCCACCAAACTTCCAGCGGTTGGAGGGAACAATACCTGTAGATTGCTAACAATTAATACCTCTCTCTAAATTCTATCCCTACGATAATTCTAGCAAAACTCGGCCACCACGGGGTGGAATTATGGTAGGTTTTTCTGCAGAAGAATATTTAACAATGTCATTTCGGCGTGTAGAGCGTCTCTCTTTTTCTATCCCTTCGTCTGTCGACAAAATGATTTATATGCTGCCCACCGAGAAAAGGCTAATCTAGTAATTACAGATAATGCCGTTATCGATATATCTCTCTTATCAAATAACAGATCTTCCATACAGATTTAACTTCGCTATTATGGGTTAAGCTGACTACAGCTGTGAGAGAATTAAATATTTTTTCTGTCATGCTGTGGTGTATGGCGCATGGGGGCTACAAAAGTTGGGGTCGTATGTACTTATTCTCAAATGGTAAAAGTCAGGATTAGGTGTGGCAAAACCAGTGTTAAGTCGAATAATTGGTTTTTGCCCTGCTCGATCTAGATCTAGATCTTTCTAGAGATAATTTTTTTATTGTTTGACTTTCTATTTTCTTCCTGGCGCCATAGCCATTAAGTACATGTATGTACATGTAGGTACATACAGCTGATGTAACTCTTGGGCATTGGCATCTACTAACCCCTTCGGGAGTAATGATGCCCCTGGACCGCTGCTTGATGAATGAATGTGGACGTTTCTGCACCAGCCACACTTTTGCGTCAGATCCAACGGCTTTTTCTGCTAGTCCTAACGGAGCTAAACAAAGCTGTCTGCTGTCGTTCTCCAACCTCTTCTTCTTCGTGTCTCAACCATCAACCTCGCGATTTTTGGTATCCACCTATCTGCCCCCCCACTCATTATACCCAAACAGCTGTTTATGCTACTACATGTACTCACGTACATATATCTAGCCTGTAGCTTCCTACGTTTTACCCCGACTATCAGTTCGCAACACACACGTGATTTCTCTGCTACTCAACTGCTGTTGCTATTCAGACGAAATACAAAAGTCGATATACAAATAAATATTCTAAAGTTCTCTTTCACATTTACCTGAACGATGCCACCACCACCGCCCCCTAAACGCAGACCTACTGTTCTGGTACTATCGCATATCCCTATACATTATTGTCATGCTATTCTAGCTTGAGTCTGAATGTACCATCATCTAATCATGCAATGTTTAATGTAGGTGACGGATTCTAGAGACCCAGGCGCCCGTGGCCCGCAACGTAGATCATCAGCAGCTACCTCAATCCCATCAATGGCTCGTTTTATTAGTGTTGATTCTGTTCTTCAGAATTCTTCTGAAATCCCATCAGGCCAGAGTCGAAACCCGCTTGCAAATCTCCAACGTTCCCGTGGACCAATATCTCCTTCTACCCCAAGACCCACAGATCCTCGGCGTTTCCTGGGTCAAAACCTTCCAATTCGTTCCTCTAAGCTATCGGAAAAACTTGTGCTATTACCGGAAACAGAGGAAGAAGGAGATCGCTGGGATTACGCTGAGGATGATAATGATGATACACCTATTAAAGATGACGAGGAAGAATGGCGGAATAGACTTGCAGAAGACGAATCTTCCGAGCAGCGTCCGAGAAAGAGTTATGCCGAGCGGCTACCAAAGTCCCGGAGGGCAGAAAAGTTGAGTCGTGTGACCGCTTATTGCACAGCAGATTCAAATAGACTTAAGGCAACTTCGAACTTCTTAAGAGAGAAACATTCCGCAAGGACAAAGCTTTATGATGAGTGCTTATATTGCGCATATCATTTACCGTTGATGCCTGGCAGTGATGGATACAGGGTTCGTTCATCACCAGTGCTCAAAAGCCCAGGGGGAAAAGCAGTGTTAGATGTACAAATTGAGAGGTCGGAGCAGAGGGATTATCGCGAAGGGTATTTTGAAAATGCCTATTCAAGAACTAGGCGACCGAGTGGTGATGGGATGGATGGGGAAGAGGAGGGGGAACATGGGCAATCAAAATCGCCCGAAAACACACACAACTTCCTCGATCATAGAGACTCTAGGGATGAGGAGACATACAGACCAGAGAGCCCACGAGAATCACAGATGGAAATGAAGTCTTTTGCAGAAATGTTCGTGTTTAGTTATGGAGTTGTGGTATTTTGGAATTTGACAGAGAGGCAGGAGAAGGTAAGCTGGTGTTGCTTTGGGGGTATAGTTGTAGTTGACTGATATTGTTGATAGGATATTTTAGCCGACCTTACTTTCGCGGGAAATGATCTCGGCACACCTTTAATAATGGGTCCAATGAAAGAAGAAGATTTTGAAACAGAAGAGTTTCATTTTCAGTATTCGTCTCGCACTAGATCTCCACGCGTATTTAATCCCCTCCTTGATCTATTTCCATTTATTACCTTAAGACAACCAGAGTCTGAGAAGTTTTTCGTTTTCTCTCACTACAGATATACAATGACATGATCACCCTGAGATCAGGGGACATAATGATCAAGCTTGCTATCTCACATGCGATAGCACAATCTACGAAACTTTGTCGATTCGAGGAGAGAATGAACTCAACCATGCTTGGAGTTCAGCATATACCAAAGAAACTTGCACTTACAGGCAATCTTGGCATGAAGAGGGAAGAAGTCGTTAAGATGAGTGGACGACTTTTTAAGCTAAGAGTAGATGTCAATTTATGCATGTATCCCAACTCAAGATTTACAGTTAACCTTTTCGTACTGACATCAGTCACAATTCGATAGCTAGCAATGTTCTTGACGTGCCCGAATTTTTCTGGGACTCGGAGCCAACACTTCATCCATTGTACGCAGCTGTTCGCGAGTACCTTGAGATAAAACAGCGTATTTTGGTCTTGAACGAAAGATGCAGGGTTTTCCTGGACCTCGCAGATATCCTTTCAGACTCAATTGCGGACAGCAATATGTCACGGATCACCTGGATAATTATCATCCTGATTGTGCTGTCAATATTTGTGACCGTAGCAGAGGTAGCGATTAGATTCGGAATTTTGAAAAAAAAAGGCACAACGGGTGCCGGGACAGCTGAGCTATAAGCGTAAATCGAATGCTGCATTGTGAGGCTGTCGATAGAATAGGGGGGTGTATTCTTAGCGAGATATTGGAGTAATCCTTCATTATTTATCAAATCATCTCTTATCAAGTGAGTTCTATAGAAAAGACCTTTCTGATTCTACTAAGGCCCTCGGGTTTTGCTGTACAGGAGACTCATTAGTTGCTAAGGTCAGTACATGTAGTCACCCTGCATCTTTTCTTACTGTATCGTAATCTTATAAACATGTATGTATTGTGTAATTTGGGAACTGTGATTGGCAATATGAAATCACAATGGAATCAAGGATATAATGCATGAATTATAAATATAATAATAATCTTTGGAGGAAATCTTTTCTTCTCGTGAGCAGAACGTGAACGGATTACCCGGCTAGGCGTCTTACTTACCAACGGTTCCGCCGGGAATGTCAAGTACGTATCATACACGTAGTACCAAAGAAAGCACGTGGATTTAGCATCCTATCTAGTAGAATACCGCGGTGTTGCCACGAGTTTCAAACAATTCCGTATTTCTATAGAATCTATCACATCCTCTTTTTCGGTACTGCATAGGTATGGGATTATCTCCACACTAAATCAATGTACTTAACAATGTGGTGAGAATTGGCCTCCCTAGAGTACACGCCATGCAGAGTTTTGTCCGTGAATAATGCTCTGTGAGAATGAATTTCTGTGGCCTGTTTGGTCCCTTCGTGCGTCTTCAGGACTGGGAATTTTACTTACTACATGTATATAAGGTGTAATTCTCACGTCGTGAACCTTGTTTGGCTGCGAAGTCACTGATTACGACCTCTCGTATACATGTACCTACATGTATTCAGACGACTCCACAGTTTGGGAACAGCTAGATTTATTGAATACCACCGCTCCGTTGTTTTCTTAGTATGTCGGAGCGCACGAATTAATAGCAATGGAGTAAAAGGACGCCAGAAACAATTGTTACGAACTCTCCCCGAGTATTAGTACTGTGACTAATTTATGTTTCAATTAGCCAATACCTTGTGAAATGACTTTTGGCAAGGAGTTAGTTCATTTGGTCTTGGGGGTACTGGTAGCACATGTATGTAGCGGGTCTGGAGTTGACGAAAAATCTTAAACATTCAGTTACATGTACCTACATACATGTACAATTTGCTTTATGTAGGTCGTCCATAGTACATGTGCCTCTAAGACCTGGGTATTGGATACATGGATGCGCATTTGTTAGTATGTTATATGCAAGTTCGGTGTGTCGTTAAATCCAAGGAAATCACTGGGGGTAGTGGTGGTCCCTGCATGATGCAAGGGCCGGAACGATCGCCGCAGTACTTAGATTCTGCATGAGATTTAGTACGGATGCTTTAAGCTTTTTCCCTACTCTATAGTATACAGAGTTATTTTTGGAGCAGAGTAGAAGTGACAAGTTAACTGCCAGTCCGTGTATGTAGTTGTATTTACATTTTTATATGTACATGTTTCTAGTGTTTCGAATAGTGTTCCAGGCGGTACATGTAGTTACCCTTGTTCTTAAGCAAGGGAATTCTTGATGATTTATTAATATAACCCAGGATCCTGAGAGATTACAAATACAATACCCAGCCAAATGTCCCTACAAGTACATGTACACACGCGTTTATTTGGCCGTACCACATGCACATAAAAATCTCTGATCTTGGTATTTACATACCATCCTTTTGTGGGTTAATTTGGCTCCTTGGCGCTGTTGAATCTCTTGTTTGGGTACATGTAAAGAAAGTGATACCCACCAATCTCTCTTAGCTCTCTGCTCTGCTGCAGTGATACATTACCTCACCCTCGCCCCCCTCCGTTTGCTGTTTCTGCTCTCTACCTCGACTTATCACTCATTTTTGGGCTTGTCTTCAATTTAGTAAAGCCTGCTTTCGTAACTCGGCTTTCCAAGGGACCCATCCCAATCCACTTGTCCTAACTATCTACGCAAACAAATTCACACAACTATCACAATCATGGCCACCGTCCGCAATCGGCTCCCAACACTATTTGAGGTCCTGAGCCGAAGGACCTTACCGCCAGTTGATTTATTCTCCTTCTATATATATATGCGAGACCAACAGAGATCCGTTGATTACCTTGACTTTTGGTACATCCCCACGCGTTTGACTTGCCATATCGCTTAATTATCGTTTCGAGAGGAGGAGAGGAAAACAGCGCCTTGTATGGGAATCTTATATACCAAAACCCGACCCCTAACCATGCTATTTTGTTACAGGCTTGATGTTGCCCAACATATATCGCTTTGCCGTCACTATGTGCGCGAGTTGCGCCGTAGTGTCCTCGTCTCTACCCCCGACCTTGACAAGAATGGTAGTCACCGGTCTTCGCAGATGCTCGATGTCCCCGATGACCATGAGTATGAGCTCAAGAATGATGATCAGCGCCTCTCAGCCTTTCTTCGCTCCGAAAACACATCTACCGGGGATCCTACACCACGTCGCTCGATGGGAGATACCTTAGAGACAAGAGAGGCATCTGGTCGCCCTTCTTTTATGTCTTCCTCAGCTCTTGATCCAAATGGGACGGACTCAGACTCCCCTAGGATAGGCGTCTCACGCTCGGATATACGTGCATCTGCCGAAAAGATTCTATACACCTATCTTCTTGAAGGCTCCGAAAGGGAAATTGTGTTACCCGAGGTGATCACCCGAAGCATTGCCAACGCTATAGAAGTTGACGGCCGAGACGATCCTGAGGTTTTCGACGAGGCAAAGGATTACGTGTTCCAAGCAATGGAGAGAGATGCGTTTCCTCGCTTCCTTGCAGCAAAGGCTCTTGGCAACTTGGTTCCTGGTAGTGGCATTCTGAGATTGATTGTTGGGCTGTTGGCGATGTTTGGTGGTTTTTGGGCGGGGTTTGCTCTAATATTTTTAGACATTCAGCCAAGAGAGACACGACTATGGGTCAGCCACCATTGTCTTAGTTCGATATCCCCTAATTGTTGCTGTGCTGACATTGTATAAATCATGTAGCTTATTCTGCCGTTTGCCGTGGGGGTATATTGTCTTATGGCACAGCAGTACTCGCTAGACCCGATAATGGGGTTAATGGGTATTAGCGAATATACTTTCATGTCTTTCATGAAAGTACGAGAGCCATATGTGAGAAAGTTGTTAAGCAAAAGATCAGTTGGTATCTTACTAATGACTTTCGTGATCGTTACTGCTTTAACGTGTCTTTATGTCTTCGTGCCTGGGCACCGATTATGAAGGCATATGTGATATTTTAGTACTTGCTCCATTGAGATTGTAGGGCCTATCAAGCTCTTCCAACGATGAGGTAGAGGGGCAATAATTTACTGGTTCATTCGAAGATCTTGTTTATACCTTGTCAATGTTTCCGAACTTTCTTTCATAGCACTCTCTCTTGTATTTGATGTTAGATAATGTGTCTCCTAAGCCAAGGGGAATGATAGTCGTCATCGCTCAAATCTCAAAATTGGCACCACAAAGGGCCTTAACATCGCTATATCATGTTTACAAAGAGATGAACAGGAAATTAAAGATTTAGTGCCCGTTTTGGAATACAGTCATTGACATAGGCCCGTTCGGCTGATTTTGGAGTTGACGGTTTTTCGCGATTTCCAGACCCGGTGTCAATTTTCACGAGGCTGACTAGGAAATTCTCAATCTGTGAGTTGGCTGTTTGTAATGAAAACACGGAGAAAAGGCTGGGACATGGTGGGGACTATTCCGAGCTACAATAGAGGAAATGCGTTCCGTACGCATACCCCAGTTTTCAGAATAAATCAGTCTCAAAAAATGCAGTTACTTTATAAGTTACTTTACCGCCCGAACGGGTATTTTTATAAGACGTTGTTGGCCGGCTGTTGTGTTCACTCTCTGTTTCTTTTCTTCTCAACGACGATTCGAGACGAAAATACGTAGAATGAATAAAACTTCGATTAAGACTAAACGAGAGCAACAAAATGTATATGATGATAATGATGATAGACAGGGAGATAGCGAGCTAGTTATTAGGTCGTGCGCTGCGGACACCTTTACAAAGGGATTGTCCATATTTTCACATACTGTACTGACTAATGCGTGACAAATCGTTTTACGGCAAATGTGCCCAACAACGTGGTTTTAAAATTAAGCCTCATGTCACAAATAAGCTCAACTTTGCCCTGTTTTGGATATAATGGTGACATTTTGACAGCATTATCACAAATCGGACTAAATGAAGGCGTTTCTTGCCGATTAGATTACCGAATATGTAAGAATTTCGAAATCGTGTAACGGGGGCAACCTATCTATGTATCGCTAGAATCCAATAGAATAGATGCGGCCGTGCAAGATAGAAATCAGGTGCAGATTTATTCAAAGATACTATCGCTAGAACTCAATAATCTTTAAGGGCTCTGCTACCGATAATTCTTGGTGAAGATGAGGATCCGGACAGTTGGGCGGGAATGTAACAGAGCCACAGTAGGGCTGTTACAAAAGTACCTGTTCTACCAGTCAAGCCATACGACCCTAGGGTAATCACCGCTTGTTCTTCATCGATGGGTGAAGATAAGGGCAGATGACCCCTACCTCTATTGGTATGAAGGGTAGGGATCCTGGCGAGCAAGAAGTCTTATAAGTCAAGCTAGGCGACTGGACCAAAACTAGAGCAGAAGGACGAGCATGCCAAATACGGAAGGGTAACCCCAAACATAAGTTACCCTACCTTGGAAGTCAATCTTTGAGGTGCAATAACTTAGCAACCGATGCTCGGAAAATATGCTTTACCACGTCAGAAAGGATCCTGACGATGCTCCGGTCCATTTGGGGTGGTTGAATGAACGGATTGCGGAGTTGAGGAAACACTGCAAAATAAACACGTTTTAGACCCCAAAAATAACCCCCGGAGCGTCGAACCGCCGGAACCCTCCTGTTTCAGCCCGGAGCACCTTTGAGGGGGAGTAGGAGTACGACCCAAGCTACTAAAAGCAAACCTCGCTTTACAAAACACCAAATCTGTTCTAAAACAAATTGAATAAGCAATTGCTATCTGGTCGGTTGTTTCCGCTAGTTCTTAGGATCCCGACCAGCTCTTGGCAGAGATTGCGTGATTTGACTCGGGCGGAAGTTCGTCCGAGGTGTGGCAGCAACTCCTCTCGCCCCTCATAGAAAAAGTCGCGGTGTCCCCAGACTAGGGGGGAAAACGAACGGTCTAGGGAGAAAAAAGCGGGAAAAAAGGGGCGGAACTTCGATAAAAGTACTCGGTTGCCCCCAGTTTGAACTCGGGGAGTCATGGAATCTCTACTAGCGAGGAGATCCCTTAAAGTTATTAAGTTTTTGACTACAAAATACGATCAAACAAAAAAACTCCATCTTTCGATCGAACGAGCCCAATGAATCCATCGTTGCCTGTTTACCCTTTCGATTTTGATCGAAGTCACGGTCGTGCATCATCCTAGCACCCCCGTTACAGTATAACTTTAAGCTTCTCGCTTAAAGAACCCCACGAAAGGAAAAATTTTACCAGAACATCTGGGACCACTCTCAACGCTGAAATAACCAAGCAGTTAGCTTTCTTGTATTCAGCTCAGGCTGGCATGGGAGAGGCGAACACGTTACTATGGTCTCCACTGTATCCGTTAAAGGGTTATAGCGCCCACATTCGCTCAAAGCGATATAGCGCCCAGCTTCGCTCGAAAGGAGACCACATCTAGGATCGCTCCTAGAAAATCCTGATAGCCCCATTGGTCAGAGGACCCCATTTCCCATCTGGGCCCCAGTCCCAACCAAAGTCAATGTCCCTCCGCCCACGATGACGACAGGCAGGGTCCGGAAGAGGAGGATAACTGGCTTTCTTCTGGCGCCACCATGCCTCGTAATGCGCTTCGAGTGCCAGTTTCTGTCTCTCATTCCGCTCTTCTTGTGCCACTCTCTGCCGCATCCACTCCGCTCCCCTCCCATCTCGCTCAATCTCCTCCCGCATCCACCGCACCTGTTCCCGTTTCTCCCTTGCTGCTGCACGGACCCGAGCCTGACCAACACTCCTGTCTCCTTGTTGGAAGAAGGGATAAGGACGATGGAAATCCTCCCGAGTCAGAAACGGAACCTGGTTGAAATGGCCGTCGAAGGTCGAGGTCTTCAAACCTCGAGGAACAGCTTGTCTGTGGAAACATTAGCGGGAGTAAGAGGAGGTTACAAGCCCCACTAAACCATGCCTACCTCACAGCACTCCGTGAACGGACAGGTTTCCGAGCAACTCTCCGAGCATATACAGAGTTACCACCATCCAACTCTAGGAGATCGGTAATAACCGGACATGTTGAGGATCTAAGCCTCGTCTCCCGGCGAGATCGACTAGCGTTAGATAAAAGCGCTTGTACGATAGACGAATTGACCGCGATGAACAAAGAGAGGAATAGAATAAAGAAAAGCATTGTTGCTGAGAAGAGGTGAAAAATTTGGTGTTGTGTGTGGAAAAAATCGAATTTTTGTGGAATGGATAGAGGGAATGGATTCTTACCCTCCTAAGTTCGATGGGTACCCCGCTTTTATAAGCGAACTCCTATCCAAGTTCCGAGGATCAACGTGGTTACCCGTAGCAGGAGTTCAGTCCGGCTCTAACCGAACCCGACATTAACCGTCGGAAGAGACAAGGACACCGAGTTTACCTGGTTTGAGGAAGGCGTGCGTGCGTTCGAAGTCCTGAAAGAGGCGTTCCAATCCGCCTCCGTATTAGCCCTCTTTGATGCTTAGCTAGCCACCATGGTTGAGACCGATGCCTCCAACCTCGCCAAATCTAGCATACGGTCCCAATTCCACTGAGATGACAATAAGTGCCATCCAGGAGTCCTTTACTCCAAAAAGGGAATTCGCGAGCCGAACGGAATTATGAAGTTCACGACAAGGAGTTAGGTGCCATTGTGTCATGCTTCAACGAGCGAAGTCACCCAGGAGGAACATCCAGCTGGAGGGAAACCTCGGAAAAAAAAAAAAAAAAAAAAAAAAAAAAAAAAAAAAAAAAAAAAAACCAGAACCCAGAACCAGCGGGTAATAGTGGAGGAGATGGAATAGTCCCCCCGGTTGGTGGCGCTTTCCAACCCAGGAGAGAGAGAACTCAGATAGTTCAGATTCGGAGCATGAGGATGGAGAAAGGTGAGGATGGCGGAGATATCTCAGGAAGACGCTGGAGAAGCAGCAGAGAGAGAGAGCTCTGGGCTCCATAGCCCAGTTCATGAGACCTCCGGCCCCCCCTCACACCCCTCCACTGCCTCCAGTGGCCGAGAACCAAAAACACCCCCCTCCGGCCAAGTTCAATGGCAAAGCAAATAATGTGCGGACCTTCATCGGGCAATGTGAGAATGTCTTCTCCATTGAAAGCCAGTCCTTTACCTCCGAAGAAGTTAGGATCCGATATCTTCTGCCAACCAGATAGCTGGGATGTCTGTGGTGTGAGATGAGAGATGGAAGCGCTGGGATTTCTTTGTGGATGCTCTCAGAGAAGCCTTTGGCGAAGTCATCTCTAGGGATGATGCGGTAGCCTAATGGAATAACCTCACCCACGCAGCCAAGGGGGGAACAGACTCCTTCCCGAATAGCATTATTCAGCTGATGTGGAAGACTGGCTATGAGGGTCAGTTAGTGAATGATAAGATCCTCAGTTCCCTCCTTCCGGACCTAGACATCTTGTCGCGGCGTTGGGACCACGCCCTCAAAGAGGGGGGTAAGGCTCATCAAGACCCTGAAATTCGCTTGTTTAAGCCAGGACAACTTATAATGGGTTCTGTCCAATACCCGATCGTTATGATCAACTCAGCATGGACAAGAGCAGCCCAAGTCTGCAAAACTCACACCGGTGCTCCCGGATGAAATCTAGGCTCGGGCAGCTTTAGATCCAGGGTACCTTTCCTTGAGAAAAGCCATTGAGAACACCTCTGGGAATCTGGTAAACCGAGACCTCACTTTAAAGGATGGAGACGTCTTCTATAAGGAAAAGTGGTACATTCCAAACTATCGAGAACTGGAGCTCACGATCCTGAGCGCCCTACATGATTCGAAGACTGCTGGTCACTTTGGACAATTCAAAACGGCAGAACGCCTTCAGGCACTCTCCTTTGGCTAAAGATGGACAACAATGTGGAAGAATACGTTCGGAGTTGCGATATCTGTCAACGTGTTAAGGCCTCAACACACAAGAAGTATGGGACGTTGCAATCTTTAGAGGTCCCCTCTATGCCTTGGAGCTCCATTTCAATGGACTTTAT